TTTCACACACACACACACACACACACACACACACACACACACACACACACACACACTCTCTCTACCAAAAGGTGGACATTTTTACAATTATACTGTTAGATCTTTTACTCAGAAGGCACAGAAGCAAAACTTTTCAGCAAAGTTTGATAATTTAGAGGCCTTACAAATTAATTTATCAAATGTCATACTATAGGCTTTACAGGGTTAAAGCACATGATTACAAATGTCAGTACTGTGGTAGAGTAATACCATGATTTTTTAAAACCATAATACGAAATATTGAGCATATTCATCAGTCACCGTGGTATTTACATAGTGATTATAACATACCCCTCCCCCACGTTGCATTGTAGTCTTTTATTATGAAATACAGTCCTGTCAACTTCCCTACCATTACCTTTTGCTGTTTAACTGAACTCATAATGATGTTTTCTTATTCTTTTTTACATTCTTCACAATAAACCAGTTTATTGAGAAGAAAACTGCTGTAAATTCAAGTGTTTGTTGCAGCCGCAGCTGTCGCGCGGTGTCTGCCTCTTTGTTTTGGGCCAGCGTCTGTCACTCTTCCGCGTCAACCAATAGGAGAACGCCTTACTTAACCCATGCGACCAATGAGCGTTGAGCTTTGTTCCACAGTGCCAGTTCCTAGGCGGGCGCGCAACGAGCCGTCGAGCTAGTTCTACTTTTATCCGCCTTTCGCAAAACCGTTCGTTTACGCATTTTAGCAGCGCTGTTTTTATTTAACCACAAGCTTCGATGTACATAACATATGTAACAGATAGCTGTGTTTGTCGTAAAATCCTACGAGGACATTCAAACGGAAGGCGCGAGCCGGTTTGACGGGTGTCAACAACGCGAGGCAAGAGTTGGACGCGTTTATTTCCACTTATTCTCCTTCAGGTACTTACAAAAAGACACCGCTTCACTTTTTTACTTGCGTTTTATTAGTAGTAATAACCCGTGTTTTATATTGCTCTGTGTAAAGATCAAGCATGGCGCAATTTCACGAGGATCCGGCGCTGCTCACTAAAGAGAAACTGAAGAGTGAGTTACTGGCCAATAACGTGCCTCTGCCCAGCGCAGACAGCAAGAAAGACGTGTATGTTCAGCTGTATCTGCAGAACCTGACGGTGCTCAACAAGAAGAACATCTCTGCTCCCGCTCCAGACACTTTCTCCAGCGATGAGGAGATGACAGCGCCGCTGCTGTCCAGCAGGAGCCGCTCAGGGAAGGTGAGCGCCAATAAAAACCACATGCATTCATTAACACTGACTAGCATGCTTCTACAGAATCCTGAATATACCTTATAGATGTGTGGGAGAAGTAGTTATATAGTGGCTATCGATCAATAATAGCTTATTAGTAATAAAATAATTATTACGTGATGTAGGGCTGTGCGTTATTGAAGAAATATGCGATAACTCATTAAATAATGCGATACGATAATGCTTAAAGTGCCACATGCTCAGATGAAACAGTTTGTGAACTTCTATAACTATCTTGTGTCATATATATATATGGTTATTTGTATGTATGTATGTATCAAGAGGGTGAATAAAGCTGATTCTGATTCTGATTCTAATATAACTAGCATACATATTTCACTTTTTGTGAGAGGAAAGCACCCCTACAACAACTTCTGAAAGTGAATGGTAGAGTTTTACTCGAGCATTACATAAAAATGTCATTTTAACATTAGTGTAATCATTTTAACATGAGTTTAGGAACTGAATAATAAAAAGGAAAAATACACCGCTTAGTATTTACTCTATGAATTCAATATGCACTGATTCTTATTTAAGCTACAAAAGTTATTTAGGTAAGAGCAGTGAGTGATTTTCTCTGTCTTTTGTTCATGGCCCCAAATATTGCAAGCCGTAGCGATTTGCATAATGCGAAGTGTACATTTGCGATATTTCGATATATTGCACAGCCCTAACGTGAAGTATGATAATGTTATGGATTATACATATTTTATCATAAAAAATAACAGTTTAACTAAATTAAATAACTTAATTAAACATCTGATGATTATTTTGTGAAATAAAATTATTGTATTTATTATTATGATGATCATTTATATTTTGAGACAAACCATTCAAACATAATGGATTATGTATTTTATAGTAATTATCATATTTCCCGTAATAATTATTGGCGTATATTTCACTTTTAATATGAAAATATTGTTATGATTATTAGTATTAATAAAATATATAATCCATTGTGTTTGAATGGTTTTTATCTCAAGAAAGTAGAAATAATTTCTGATGAGAATAATTAAAATTATCATGATGATAATTTCTGAATTTTTAGAGAAACCATTCAAGCATGGATTATGATTATTTAAAAAAAATATATATATATATTTTATTACAAATAATTGTATGATAGTAATTATGTGAAATATGCTCATTATTATTATTATTGAGATAATTTCTACCTTTTTGAGACAGACCATTGAAACATCATGGGTTATACAGATCTTATTAATAATAATAATTAAATATTTGATCATAATTATTATATGAAATATGATCATTATTATCATGATCATTTCTACTTTTTTGAGACAGACCATTCAAACATGATGGATTATGCATATTTTATGAATAATAATAATAAAGTATATAATCAGAGTTATTACGTAAAATATGATAATAATTATCATTACAGGGCTTTTTATTATTTTTTTATTATACAACAAATGGTTCTTAATTGCTTTATCTTTGTTTTTTATTTCTGCTATTTTACTTTACTTATTATAATCATTATATATATATATATATATATATATATATATATATATATATAAACCTATAATAATTCCTCTAGTCTACCACAATAAAACATGCTTTCTAAACATTTTAAAAATTATTTTTACTTTATATAAAATAATAGTTAATAATTGTTGTTTATTCTGACTTGAGTAATTTGAAAATAAGCTATTTTACATGTAAACACTTTTACATTTTATACACAGAGAAGCACTTCTGTGATTTTCTTAGTAGGTAGAAATAGAGAAAAATGAAAATAATTACATGCATTTTCCTTTTCATAATCCCTTAATCTTCAGAAAGCCACAAGAAAGACAGACAGAGTTCGGCCAGAGGAGAACGACATCTCTGGTTTGACTGATGAAGAGTTGAAGGTTCAGCTTATGAAGTATGGAATCCATTCAGGACCAATTGTTGGTGAGTATCACCGTTTTTCTACAGTCAAATTGAGTTTGTGAATATTGATGGCCCACTATGAATGTCCTACATCTGTAGATTTGTGAAGGTTTGCATTGTATTGTTTCACAGCCTCTACACGTAAGGTGTATGAGAAGAAGCTCCAGCAGCTCCAGGAGCAGCCGCCGGTGGAGAGCAGCCTGCCTGAACCCGAGACCACCATCCCGGAGGCCTTCACCATCAAAGCAGATGGAAACCAGAACGGCAACACACATTCAGCCGAAGATCAGTACAGTGACAAAGAAGAAGGTAAAACAGGGATGATCAGTACTGAAACAAGCTTTTTGCATTTGCACTTTTAAGTACCACATTTTCCTGAAAACAAGTCGTGCCTGAGTAAAAGTCGCACAGGGTCAGAATCGCATTGTTGAGAGAGAAAAAAAACACAATTGAGTTGAATTGTACTATTGCATTCACAAATAATGTAGAATATTTGTAAAAGAAACATTTTCAAACATTATTAACACTACAAACATTCATTATAAACAACATTTAAGCTATTATAAATCCTAAACCTTCTAAACAAATCTGTTAAGTGAAACTGGAACCGGCATTGGCATATATTTGTTTGCCTTTGCGTGCTTGGAAATAAATGCATTATATAGGTCAGTCTGGAATATAAAACATAGGATGCTTCAGATTATAAAAATACAGTATATAATCTCATTATTATTAATAATTATTATAATATATGATATAATGTATAATAATAATTATTATTAATATTTCACCAAGAGAAGTTTTGTGTTATTGATTTATTTCTACATTTTAACACAAATCATTTGAATATTATGTATTATTCTTGCTCTTGGTAGAGCAGGAATTATTGATATTGAGTCTTTTTGGATTTGTACTTCAAAGTATGTCAGCTCATGCACTTTCAAGTAGATCAACTTCATCCTTTGTTATTAGTAGTGTTTAGTAGTGTTCACTAAGTCAACTGTCGACCTCCTCAAATGTTGCGTCTTTTTGAGGAGAGGTGTGTGATTCTTTTACTAAGCTATCAGACTTTGCATGTGATCCGAGTCATCCAGACAAGCACATTTTCTTCATCAAATGTAGACATTTAATTGTGGCAGTCGAAGTTGCTTAAGATTAAAAAGAGTTTAGTCTTCCAAACGTTGCACTAGAATTCGAATAATGACTGAAAGTTAAATATTTATGGTCATATTAGGTTTCTGTTTAATCAGTTTTGCTTTTTGATTGGCAGAAGTTGATCCTGTACCAGAGCCGGTTCCCTTTGTGACTAAGCCGGTCCGGAGCAGAGGAAAGACTCCAGTCACCACCAGGACCAGCAGCAGACAGCGCACTAAAGTAAAGAACAAAGTCAACATGCATATAGATAAAAAGATCATAGTAGAGTCTTAATTTATGCTGCTCAATCTCATCTGCTGTGCTCTGTAATAGTTGAGTTTTCTTCTATTCAGCAGCAGGTGGTGGAGGAGACGGCAGCTGTCACTGAGGAAGCATCTGTGGATGGAGGAGATATTTTAAAGGAAATCTTCCCCAACGAACCTGCCACACCAACCGGAATAACGTTAGTATGAACATGCTGTGTTTGCATTATTCCAAATATGACCTGTCACATATTTGCTGAATGGAATCAGGTACTTTTTTCTTACTAATTCTGGGGTGCTGATTCAAAAACAGAGCCTGTTTTGTTCTAGATCGTCACATTTTCTCAGAACATATGATGCATTTCATTGCATTTTTGCTTTCGACAACCATTCGTAAAGTGTTCTCCCTTAATCAGCAGAAAAACTGCCACACACATTGTCAAAAAATGATTCCTGTCTTCATCTGAGCCAGATTACAACTATCTGTTTTTACACATGAATTTATTTTAGGCCTAATCCTGATTTCAAGGTTAGAGTTACAACCAGCGACAGAAGAAAACGCAAACATGAGCCAGATGTTTTCTGCTGCATCTGTGGGTGTTTTACTACAGCCAAACAGTGACAGATTTTGTAAATAAACAAATAAAAGCTTATTTTGGGAACATGAAATGGAGTATTTAAACATATTTTTCCACTCCTTTGCAGACTGTAAGTTAAATAACATACATAAATATATTTTGATATAAAAATAACATTTTGAATACTTCTTTTTGTCTTTAAAACAAATGACAAAAATTACAAAACTTTTCAAATTTGACTGCTTTTCTTGTTTTATTAGGTGCATCAAAGCTATGTAATTTGAAAAATCTTTCTTATTTCAAAAAACAAAACAAAACTACATGTTGGAAAGTTTTAATTGATATTTTTGAACTCCCCTTCAGTCAAATTCCTCCCTTTGAGATCAGACCTATTATCAATCGTTATATATTAAATAAGTGGCAAGAAGAGTGGGATACATGTACAAATAATAAATTACATGAAATACATCCGGAAATTTCAAACAGATTTTAACTCTCTTTTAAAACTAGATTTGATCAAGTGGTATTTACCAGATGTCGCATACAGTAGGTCAGGGTTCCTCAAATCTTGCCCTGGAGGGCCAATGCGCTGCAGAGTTTAGCTCCAACCCTGATCAAAGTCACCTACCTGTGATTTTCGAATGATCCCGAAGACATTGATTAGCATGCTCAGGTGTGTTTGATTAGGGTTAGAGCTAAACTCTGCAGGAAAGTGGATCTCGTGGGCCAGATTTGAGGATCCCTGCAGTAGGTCATACAAGACTGACTGACTGAAAAATGCATTTTTGCTTAAAGGCTTAGAAGGTGAAGACCCTACTCAATGCATGTTCTGCAAGATTCCCCTTTCTGTCAAACATATTTTATTGTACTGTCCCGCTTTTAATGTATGTAGAAAACTCTTTTATGAAGTGAACTCACTTAAAGAGTTATTTAGTATAATTTTGCCAGAAAAAAAAGTTTTAGAATTTTTATGATATGTGACCCAGGACCACAAAACCAGTCATAAGGGTACATTTTTTGAAATTGAGATTTATACATCATCTAAAAGCTGAATAAATAAGCTTTCCATTGATGTATGGTTTGTTAGGATAGGACAATATATGGATGAGATACAACGTTTTGAAAATCTGGAATCTGAGGGTGCAAAAAAAATCAAAATATTGAGAAAATCGCCTTTAAAGTTGTCCAAATGAAGTTCTTAGCAATGCATATTACTAATCAAAAATTTTATGCATAATGCAAACAAAATATATAGAATTCTCATTACTATAATGTGAAAAATCTCATTGTGATAAACATAATGCAAAAACAATTGCATTACCGTAATGCAAAAAATAAAAAATAAAATCATTACCGTACTGTAAAAAAATACATTTGCATTACTGTAATGGGAAAAAATTACTTATGCAAAAAAAATGATAGCAATCTGATTTTTAAAACTATATATGCATATTTTGTTTTTTTAAATAGCCATAATAATTCAGTTCAGCCACTGTGAACACTTAATTTACAATTAATAATATAACATTATTTTTTGCATTACAGTAATGAGAATTAAGTGCTTGATTGAAAGTATTTAAAATAATTAACAAATGATATTGTTGATTTTGTGGTGAAATATGACTTTTGCATGTTCTTGACGGTTTTCGTGAGATTGACCCAGTAGCATTTGTCTTTAATGATATGTTGCATTGAAATTTTTTTAAACTACTGAACTACCACCTCAGATAATGCTTGGTTTTAGCACTAGACATATTGATCAATATTTATTTTTTTATCCAGAGCTTGAAAGAAAATGATCTTATGAACATCTCATGTAGTGAGTAACGCTTCACTTCTGGTGAGAGGCAGTCTGTTGTTTTTTTTAATAGATTATGGCGGCTTGTTAAATGTGTTTGTGATGTTTTCATAATGTGATGTGTGGCATTGTAGGTGATTTTTAAACCCGTAATGAGAATTGAGTCCACCGACACTTGCCTGTTATTGACTGTAATCAGACCGTCTGTTATTGCTCAAACACTGGCATTCATCTGACTAAACTATGAATTCATTTCTGTGCTGTGATTGTTTTAAAAACAAAACTGGTCTGGATATATTTACTCACTATATCTTCATTTCATTCAGAGAAATACATTTGTGACAGACAAATTCATTTGCAGGGGTTTCTTTTTATATTTTGCTACTCTTACTACTTTTTAACGGCAATGTTTTTCTAATGTCTTCTCTGAAATTAAAAAAAATGTTTAAAACGCAGTGAGTTACTTAAAATGTAGATATACCGAATCCACTAACCACTAAGTAACATCTTAGTTTTGTCCTGCTGTGTCAAAGGCAGTGAATGGTATAAAGTCCAATTTGCACTTTGTATTTAGGCAGCTAATTGTGGAAAACTGGTCATATGGAATGAATTATTTATCCTTGATTCAGTACAATTCTTGTGTGAAATAAAAGAAGACCTTTGAAATCCCAAAGGTGACCCTTCCTTGTAGTTTATTTACAGCAAGGTCAGTTTAGTGACACACACACACACATTCCAGCAAATTTACCCAGGAATGTTTCCTGTCATTTATACTCTGAGGTTTGACCTTCAGACACACCATTGCACATTTGAGCTAGCAAACCATATAATCAGTCCTGTTCAGATATACATATACACAGCATATTTAGCAATAATTAACTGCTGTACAATATTAATGCATGTAAATATGGCTCAATCACACTACAAAGACGGCAGACGGTGACTTTGAGTTGCATGGAATCTCTTGCGTAATGCACTCCGGAATAGCCCCGCCTCTCATTTTTGTCCTGACTGGTCAAGCGAGTTCTACTATGGCGAAGGCTTGGCTCATGAATATTAATTACGTAATGTGACGTTACCCAATTAGATTGGCTGAGATGCAACGTCTTAACTGATCTGTCATTTTTGGTCTTTTATCATATCAATATTAATAACTAAAAAGGAGATGTAATAATAGAAATAAAAAGAGTAAAAATTATATATTAGTATCATAATTAATAGTATTACATTATTTTTTTCCAGGACCCTGCATTTTGGTTTAAAATAATTTATTTGGTTTGGCAGACCATTTCATTTTATGTATGTGTAACTTAAAAAAAAATATTGGTCTTCATACAAGGTAACGTTTCGAGCTAGCAGGCTCTTCGTCAGGGCTGTTAGCTCAAAACGTTACCTTGTGTGAAGTCCAATGTTAAATTGTTTTGCATTTTTGGAGCCTATGGTGTGCCAACTTTTGTTTGTTTTTTAATTATTTTCTTTGACGAGCACCCAATTTAGAGCATTTTGTGCCGTCGATGTGCATGCTTTTGTTCCGTTTTTTCTATGTACGTGTAACTTATATATATATATATATATATAAGATTTGTAAAATACTTTTTCTTATTTAATCTTATTGTTATATCAATTGCACCCAGTCAGAAAATTCAGTTAAAAAATTATGTAGCATGAACATTTGAATGGGTTGGCAGGACTACTGTATTTGATATGTCGTTTTAATTTTAGAAATATATAGATATAGTAGTAGTAGTAGTAGTAGTAGAAGTAATATACTTGAAAAATATTTTCTTAGAAAAGGGGAAATTTGTAACACAATATCTCACATTTTAAAAATTCATCTCATTAGCAAATCTAAAAAAAATAACAAAAGAAACTGAATTAATGTAAAATTATTACTGCATTTGATATGTTGTTTTAATTTGAGAAATATATAATAGTAGTAGTAGTAATATACATGAAAATATTTTCTTAGAAAAAGGAAATCTTTTAACACAATATCTCACATTTTAAAACTAAATTCATGTAATTAGCGAATCTAAAAATAACTGAAAATAATGTAAAATAATTGTATTTAATCACTGGCACTGTTCATAGCTCATTGTTTATTAATATCACTATGTACATCCTCTGCGCTGAAAAAGCTTTTTTAAATAAATGAAGAAAAAAAAAATCGCGGTCTATATTAATATTCATGAGCCGATACGTGCCCATAGTATGATTTATAATGAGGTGGGCGGGGCCTGCAGTGACGCAGTCGCTTCCTTTATCCGGTTGAGCCTCGCGGCGCTCGCGCACATAGCTCGGTCTCTCTGCGCAGCCGGTAGAGGAGAGAACGCAGGCGCCATTTTGCGACAAATTCACTAAAGTAAGAGTTTCGTCAAAACCTAACACAACCTTTTTCTTGGTCTTCACACACAGATTGAAGTACCATTCCACATTTTCTTCACATAACGGCCTTTTAACGTGTTAAATGTTTGCTTTAGTGGTAGTTTTACTGCAACGTCTTACTACGAATTACGCTTTTATTTGACATGTATGTAAAACACTACGCTTGTAAATGTGTTCAGTGCCTAACCAGTGTTGTTTTTTCATTCAGGTCTGCCACCAGACATGTATCCGACCACGCTGACCCAGCTGACCCGGGCAAACCCCTTCAGCGCCCCGTTGTTCTCGCTGCAGAAAGCCGAAGAACCGGAGAAACACACTCCCGTACAGAAGCGCAGGCTCGCAGCCGCCGCGGTAGCCGGTAAGACCGTAGCCCATACATATCATGACCAAAAAACACCTCATTTACATGCATTAAATGCAGTTTAAATTGCTGAAGACG